AGAAGTCCCTTGAGTTGACTGAGTATGTGAGTCACATGGTCAGACCTGCACTTAAAGAAAAGTTCTATTTAGTTGAAATCTCAGGTCTGGGACAGTCCTGTGTTTTTATTTTTGTTTTGCTTTGTTTTCAGACTTTATCCATGTAGGGATCATCTGGTGTGTAAACACCCTCCCCCATGCATATTGGCAATTCATCTGTGATTTACATCAGACAGCCTGAGACACTGGGGATTAAGCACATGTGATCATAGAACTGATAGTATGGTAGAGGGCCTCTCTCCAAAGTGACCACTTGCCCATGGTCACTATCAAAGGCAAGACTTGAACCTAGGTCTTTGTTGTGACTACAGATCCAATGATCTATCTACCACATCATGGTACCTCTCCCCTAATAGAATATTAGTGCTATTGCAGAGAGTAGCATAACATCATTGAAAGCATGGCACAATTTCTTCAAGGTAGACCAACTCAGTCTCTCCCTATTCAGTCCTGGGCCCAGCTCATACTCCCTCTGAGGTGATGTCAAAGTTACACATATTGCTGGACCAGTGGGCTGCCTGTTCAACTGCATATATGTATGTATGTATACATATGTATATATATATGTTGGTTTCTCTTGATAGAATATAAGCTCCTTGAGGGCAGGGACTGCCTTCCTTTTGTATTTGTATTCCCCAGAGCCTAGAACAGAGCATGGCACACAGAGAGTGCTTGTTTGAGTAACTGATGTAATCACCTGGGCATTCTTCATGCATTCTTTGTGCATTCTTCACCCATTTAATTTTTCCTGAGTGGATTATTTGGCTGATAATAAAAGTGTCCCTGGATCTCACTGGAAGCACTCTTTCTTCTTCTTTTTAAATGTTTTTATTCATGCTTTTTAAAATCAATGTCATTTCCCTTGTAACAGGTGAGTCGAACAAAACAAAGCAATACATTGTTCATGAATGCTTCTTTCACACCAATCACCCACCATTTCCCAGTTGACAGAAACCCTCAGGGCAGCAGGTTATCAGCAAATAGGAGCACAGTTATCCCTTCCACATCGAAGGGATTAGGGGCGCAGGCACCCAGAGATCTGGAAAATCCACGTAAAAAATTTTGGCCCTTTCTTTGTACCAGAGAAATCTGAATTATTAGGGTATTAAAAGATGAAATATGCTGATATTATACAATGCTAAACATATATATTATGCATTTCTGAGTTTCTAAACTTCTGTGTCACCTGTGGCTTCCACAAAACTCCCCCAAAATTCCCATCTAATTTCTTATGCTGACCAGCGAAATATTGAAACCGTGATGGAGAAAGGCACTATCTGAAGAGCCTCACCATCTATAAGAACTCCTACTTCTATTTGGATTCTGTGCTGGATAGCCCGAAAAACCACTGTCACCTTTGATGAGTATAGGTCTCCCAAGGAATAATTTAACTATGTTATTTTGAATAGAGTCAGCATGACATATAATGAATAGAGAAGTGCCTCAAAGCAGAGGACCGCTGAGCTTAAAACCAGATCGATCAATCCTGACTGGTCAAACCACTTAGCGCTCTAGACAAGTCAGGGAGAAGGCGATTACCTGCATTGGTAAAGGGAGTTTCCTTACCAAGAATTCTCTAGACCAACAAAATCCCAGGTTGCTGTCCAATCTTTATTTTGAACAGCGACAGAAAACTCTGGATGATCTTCTCCAAATTCATGACAAGCAGCATGGCAGAGTAGAAGCAACTCTAGCCTGTGTTTTGCTTATTTTTATATCCCCAGTGCTTAGCACAGTACCTGGCAATAGTAGACACTTAATAAATGTTTATTGACTGACTGACTGACTGACTGATGGAGCAGCATCCGAGACCAATCTTTAGCAGTGTCTGAGACAATTCCTAACTGGACAAGTCGATTAACCTCTTTGAGTCTCAGTTTCCTCATTTATAAAATGAGATAATGGCAATTATACTAGCAGTATAGGCACCTTAAAAGCATGATGGAATTGTGAGTTATTATTATTATTAAAGGTCACTAGGAGTCAGCAGTGTGGTGTGGCAACCAAGAAAGCTAACTGGCTGTAGTGAGAGGCACAGACGCTTCCTAGAGTGAGGAGGTTAAAGCTCTGCAGCCAGACAATACCCAGAACATTGTAGTTGGTTTTGAGCACCACAGTTTAACAAAGGCATTGATAAACTGGAGAATGTCCAGAGTAGGGAACCAATATGGCAGAGGGAACAGCTTTTATTAATTGCTTATCATGTACCAAGCACTTTTTGTAATTGGTATCTCATTTGATCCTCACAACAACCCCGGGGAGGGAGGTGTTATTATCTCCATTCCAGCTAAGGAAACTGAGGCACACAGAGGTTAAGTGATTTGCCAAGGTCACATTGTACCAGGACCTCCACTGCGCCCCCTACCTGCCTCTGAGTCCTTGTCACATGAGGTTCCATTACGGAGCTGTGTATGTTTATCCTATGCTACACAGTGGATGGAGAGCAGGCTTGCAATTAGGAGGACCCGAGTTCAAATCTGGCCTCAAATACTGTGTGACCCTGGGCAAATCACTTAACTCTGTTTGCCTCAGTTTCCTCATCTGTCAAATGAGCTGGAGAAGGAAAAGGCAAACCATTCCAGTATCTTTGCCAAGAAAACCCTGAATTGGGGTCACAAAGAGTCAGACGTGACTGAACAACAACATGTTTATCCTTTAAAAGAGAAGACTAAGGGGCACGTGAGGGCAGCTGTGTTTAAATATCTGAAAGGCTGTCACATTTAAGAGGGATTAGATATGTTATAGTAGGTCCCAGAAGGCAAAATATGGAACAATGAATAAATTGACCCTTGATGTCAGGAAAGAAACAGTGATCACGAAGTGGAATGAATTGCTTCTGGCGGGAGAGGGTATTCTCTCATCCAAGGTCTCCAAGAAGAGGATAGGTGACCACCATTTTAGCATATGGCATCCCAAAGGTCTAAGCACTGTTTGAAGCTTTTAGCCCATCTTGTGAAGATTCCTTTCTGGGTATGCGGTTAGATGAGATTGGTGGGGAGGAACCTCCCAAGTCTAAGATTGTGTGATTCTGTAATTCATACACTTTTTCCATTTTACCAGCTTGTACTTTGGAGGAGGTCAGGATGGTGAGCAGGCTGGGAACATAACCACAGCCCTCCCTCCCACCAAGACCAAAATATTTCAGAGGTCAAATGCCCCTTCTCAATTCCAAGGGATCCTTATACCCATGAAGCTACTGGCAGATAAAGTCACAGAACCACTCCTGGTGGGAAAAGGATGCCACAGAGCATCAGAAGGAGCTCGAATCAGACCCTTTTTGTATGCGACCCTGAGCTGAACTTCCCTGTATTATTCATGCGGAGCTCTCCAGTCCATATGAAATCATCTAAATATTTAACATGCCTCCTCGGAATAACACACAAACCTAACAGCAGTTAGCAACAGCTGCAGATGGGCCCAGATCAAATGACTTGGGGGCTTAAAGTGAAAGAGACCAACCCATCTTTGGTCTAGAAAGCCTAGAAAAATGGCAGACGCTAAGCAGTGGTGGCCTGCCCTCCCAGACATTGAATCAGACCAGCTACCCTTGTGTATTTCTCGAGAGATAAGAAAAAGGGGGAAAAGGAAAGTCTATTAGGTTAGAATGAAAGCCTTGGAAAGACGGTAGAAGACACAGGTAATGATACTGTATCAGAGGGCCCATGGTACATTTCCCTCAGACAAAGAAAAAGCCCGGAGGCCTTCCCAGGGCTGACTTCAATTCCAAAAGGCAGATTTAAGATCAGGGCTTCAACTTCGCAGGAGGGCGAAATTTATCCAGGCAGATATGTTCAAGACAAAATGTCAGATCCAGACCCACCAAAGCCATTTCCAAAGAGAAAGAATTCATTGGAGAATCGGTGCTGTCTCTGAGAAGTGACCTAGACATCCTCCCACTTAAGCTTGGAGATGGGGGAAGATGAGAGGAAACACACCCTTCAGGGTGTCCCCACAGGTACTGCCTCCCCTTCGCTATCCTCTCAAGCCACAGCACCCTTTGGGTCCCAATTGTCATTGTCTTTCTGTCACTGGGAAAGGCACTCCCGTCCGACACATTCCTGCAGACACCCAAAGTAGCGCCGTCGCCCCTCCACCCCACCCCAGCTCCTGTCACAGGGAGGACGCTTCAAACAGAAAATCCTATAGGATTACCCCACAAAGCGAGGGGGTCATTAGAATGCAGACAGAGGGGAAACTAGGATTTGCCGTTTGGTGAGACATAAAGGAGGTCATTAAAAACAACAACAACAAGGGAGAAAAAAAATCTACCACACAAGGAGAGCCCCGCCTCCGCCGCCGGCTCCCCCACCCAGTCTCCAGGCAGACCCCACAGGGCAGCGCCCCCTAGTCAGTTTCAAGCCCCAGTCTGTCAATTTCTCGTGACAAAGCATGTTGGCAGAACTGGACAAACCCATCGGGATGTTTCTCTTAAAGAAGACGGACTGATTGAATTGCTGTCCAGTTCCCTTCCCCCCCATCCCCGACCCCCGCCATCCTCAACAAAAACAGCAAACAAAAAGCCCAGCCTGGGAAAACAAAGACCCGGGGGTTGGGGGGGGGAAGAAGCCCTCAAACGAGGAGGAAGGCTCTTGCCACCCCAGGGCAAAGAAGTGCATCCACCTTTTCCACCCTGTGGTCTCCCCCCGTGTCCCCTCCTCACGCAGCAGGGAGCCCTTTTAAATGATCCCGCAAGGAACTCGGCTTCCTGCAGAAACAGGGTGCGCCTCTGCCCCTGCTTCCCCAATGCAGTACCCGCGTGCCCCGCCTTGCTTGTGCCTTCTCCCGTCTCCCGGTGCCCACAGCCCCGCTCCTTACTGTACCTCCCCTCCTAAATTTAGCGGCCCCGCCGGGTATTAATAGCAGAGGCAGGGCAGGGCAGGGGTAGGGCGAGCGGAATGTGGACTGCCCCTCGGGCGAGAGAAGCCCCAGGGAAGAGCCGGTGAAGAAGGAAGCCTACTTACACCACCAGCCTGGAGATGATCCAGGACACCATGGCGGGGGGCACGGCGTGGCGAGGAGCGGAGAGGAGAGGCTGCTGCGGCCAAGGCTGGCTTGGCCTGGCCAGAGCTGAGCTGAACTGGGCTGAGCGCAGCGCTCTGGGAGGAGGCTCTGGGCGCAGGGGCTCGGGGCACGTCGCTGGCTCCGTCCGTCAGTCCGCTACAGCCACACTGAGCAGCCCCGTGGCTCAGCCATTAGCAGAGCGCGCCGTCAGCGCAGCCGCGGCAGGTTCCCAGGACGGCGGCAGAGGCTGCTCCTGCCCCCGGGGACCTGGGGAGGCGGTGGCCGAGCCCGCGATTGGGTAGGACGAACGGGCTGGTGAGAGCCGGGGGCGCTGCCTGCACGCCACTCACAGCCAGCGTCCGCACCTCGGCACCTTGGGGAGCCCCCGCCCGGCTCCCGGCCACCTGCACCCAAGAGCTGTCAAACTGCGGGCGGATGCAGCCGCCAGCTGAAGAGAGGTGTGAGGAGGGGGCGGGCCTCTTCTCGTCTCTCCTCCCCTCCCCCCCTCCTCATGTAGGCAGGCACGCACACACACACACACACACACACACACACACACATACACACACACTCGTGGCAGTGGCAATGTCACAGCATCATAGATTAGGAGCGGCCAAGGAACTGAGAGGTCATGGAAACAACCCCGTTATTTTACAGGCAATGGAACTGAGGCACACAGAAGGTTCAAGCGACTTGCCCAGGGACAAACATAGCTAGCTTGGTGTCCAGTGAGCCGCCTTTTTCGTTTACTAGCAGTGTGACACAGGACAAGTTACTTAACTTCTCTGAGGGTGTGTCCTCACACATGCCCATCGCCTCCAACTAGCCTGGGCTGTGCCCTGAGACTGGAATGCCCCTCACCTCCCCAGCATCTTAGAATCAAAGGTCAGCTGAACCCCCACCTCCAACGTGAGAGCTTTTCTAATCAGTCCGTCCCCCAAATCCTAGGGCTCTCCATTAAATTACCTTGCAATCGTGTTTCTATAGCGGATATTCAGGGGAGAGTAGCAGAGTCAGCTGACCCGGCTTCCAATTCCACCTCAGTCACAACCTGTGTGACCTTGGGTGAGTCACTTAACTTAACTATATATTGTCACTTAATATCTGTTTATGAAGATGGCCTCTACTAGGTGGCTTCTGCATTCCTCTCCGGCTCTAGCTCTGTGATCCTGTATAAATTGTCTTCCCTGAGAGACTAGAAGTTCCTTGAGGGCAGGAATTCTTTTTTTTTCTACTTTGAATTCCCAGTGCCTGACACATTTTGTTGTTCAGTGGTGTCCAACTCTTCGTGACCCCATTTGGGGTTTTCTTGGCAGAGATACTGGAGTGGTTTGCCATTTTCTTCTCCAGCTCATTATAGATGAGGAAACTGAGGCAAACAAGGTGAAGTGACTTGCCCAGGGTCACACAGCTAGTAAATGTCCAAAGCCAGATTTTAACTCAGGAAGATGAGTCTTCCTGACTCTAGGCTGGGCAGTCAGAACTCTGCCACCTAGATGCCTGGCACATAGTAGGTGCTTTAAAAAGTTAGAAAGACCAGACAGTTGATACAAATATTATAATTTTACTTTGAAATAAAACTGTTCATCCTACTATCTCCATTTTCTTTGCCTGGTGGATTTTAAAAAGCACTGTTGGCTTGGCTTGGACCTTCCAGCTATTCCTAAATTCTGGCCCTTCTAGTTTTAATTGGTTTATTGTTCTGTAAAGGGAAAATAATAATAATAATATCTGTAGGACCTACCTACTTCACAGGGTTGGCTGGAGACTCAGATGAGATCACTTATGTAAAGCATTTTAGAGACTTTAAAGCAACATATAAACTTCATTATAGGATCACAACGTCAATTTCAGTGAAATGAGATTGAGCAAGGAGGCTCAATTGGTTGGTAAGCATTTATTAAGGGCCTACTATGTGCAATATTTATTAAGGGCCTACTATGTGCACGTATTTATTAAGGGTCTGCAATGTGTACATAGTAGGGATATAATGAAAAAGCAAAAAAAGCCCCTGCCCTTAAGGAGCTTACATTCTAATAGTGGGAGACTGCATGCACATAAACAAGTATATATAGATACAAACAGAGAAGATGCAACCTATGGATGGCCAAATACTTGACTATATATAAATTATATTCATAGAGCATATGTGTGTATGTGTGAATAAGGTAAGGATCTTTAATTTCATTGGTGTGATCACTCCTCCACTAAGACAGATCAGTGACAGAATCTGAGGAATATGTATGTAGAATATATATATATAGTATATGTATACACACACACACATATCTATGCTGTCATTTATTTCACACTAGCTTTGCAATATTTTCTCCTCTGCTCTTCACAACAGTCCTGGCCAGAACTATGGTTATTATTCTAACAATGTTTTAGAGATGAGGAAAATAGTCCATCAGTCACTCAGACAACAAGTTGTAGAATAAATAATGAAGGGATTTAATAAGAGCTGTGAACATGTACAGCTTTAAGGCTTGCCAAAAGCTTTACCCATTTTTCTCATTTATCCTTACAAAACCACTATGATGGGTAATACAGATGTCATTATTACTACCTATATATCCACCCCCAATCTCTCCTTGAGCTTCAATCTACCTCCCTTTGGATATTTCAAACTAGATGTCCTATAAACATCTCAAATTCAACATGGCCAAAACAGAACTCGTTGTCTTTTCTCCAACTCAATCACCTTCCAAATTTTTCTGTTTCTGTCAAAGGCACTGCCATTCTTCCAGTCTCTCAGATTGGTAATCCCACTTTCCCTCACTCCGCATAGTCAATCAGTTGGCAAATCTTGACGTTTCTACCTCAGCACACTTCTATTCTTACAGTAGCCACCATCTCGGTTCAGGCCCAGATCACCTGTCACCTCGATTATTACAACTACCTCAGGTTTCCCCCCATTCCTATGTACTGTTGCCAAAGTGATTTTTTCTTAGGCACAGAGCTGACCATGGCAGGAATGAATGTCCTCCTTATCTCAGCCTCAGAGAATTCCTTTCTTCCTTCAAGAAGCAGGTCAAGGTCCATCTTCCAGGTATAACCTTTTCTGACCCTCCCCCCCCCAACTTCTGGTGCCACCGTCTTTCCAACTATCTTGTATTTAATTACTTTTTATTTATTTTGCATATATTTATACCTCTGCTTGTTGTCCCTAGTTAGAATGTAAGCTACTTATTAATTGTTGTTGTTTGTCCTTCATTCTCAAAGAGAGCTAATGACATCATGAGGGTGATGTCTTGACTTGCTCATGAAATGGATTTAAGTGAGGCAGAGCTTTGCAGTCACCAGCCTCGCTCTAACCCTTGTTAGTAGAGATTATTCATTTATTGTATTTGTATCCCCAGTGCCTGGCACTCAGTAGATACATAATAAATGATTGTCAATTGATTGATTTGGTCTTGGAATTTTACAGATGAGAAACCTGAGGCATAGGGACATTTAATAACTTGAAAGGATAAGTGACTTGTCCTGGGGCATAGAGCTAGCTAGTGGTACAGTCACAATCAGAACATTGGTCTCCAAAACCTTAATAAGTCTTGAGCCATAAGGAACTTCAGGTAGAGGAGAATCCCTTCATCAATTCTCTATGTTGTCATTTGGTCTTCATTTTTTAATAGGACCAGTGACATCTTGGGTGATGTCTAGACTTGCATATGAATTGGATTTAAGTGAGTCAGAGCTGCTCAAAGTTGTCAGCCTCACTCTCTCTTCCATAGTCATTGAAGTCTACTGGCAAGACAAAAGGCGAGATGATTGGCAATGGCCCAGGATGCAGTGGATGACCTCGATATCCATCTTCAATGCCTGACAATTTTAAACTATCTGTGACTTGGGAGTTGACTCCTATGGGATGCACAAAAGTTAAGTGAAGTAATAAAGGTCAGAAGTGGGATTTGAACCCAGGTCTTCTTGACACCAAACCCAGCACTCTATCCACTTACTATTCCATGAGACTTTGTACTGATCATCCTCCCACATGCCTGCCTCCTCCTTAGTCTCCTTTGCTGAATCATCATCAATCTTATGCTCCCTAACTGTGGGTGTCCCCTAGGGTTCTAACCTGGCCCTTTCTCTTCTCCATCTCCATTTTGTCTCTTAATGATCTTATCAACTTCCATGGGTTTATCATCTCCATGCAGATGACCCCCAGATTTATATAACCAATTCCCCTCTCCCCCGAACTTCAGTCCACATCACAAACTGCCTATTGAACATTTTAGATTCGATGTCTTGGAGACATCTCAATCTCTACATGTCCAAAACAGAACTTATCATCTCTCCCTCCAAATCTACCCTTTTGCTGATCTCCCTATTTTTACTGAAGATACCTCTGTTCTTCCAGTCCCCCAGGTTGTCAGCCTTAGTTACATCCTTAGGTCTTCACTCTCTCCCTCACTATATAGATGAAGCAAATTGTCCTGAGTTGATTCAGCCTCCTCAATTTCTCTTGACTCCATCCCTCCAATCTCCACTCACCAGGCCACTCCCTTTGTGCAGGCTCCAATCACTTCTCACCTGGACTATTGCCACCACAGCCCTTCCTCAAGCTGCTCCCCTCTCCAATTCAACCTCCACCCTTCTGCCAATGGCATTCCTAAAGCACTTATCTGGGGTTCTGGGAAATCCCAAATGAGGAAACTTTCTTTACCAATATGGGTTGGGATCTCATATGCAAGTTGTAGTCTTGAATAATTGTCTAGAGCACTAAGAAATTAAGTGACTTACTCAAAGTCACACATAGTCACTGTGTGCCAGAAACAATATTTACAACCCGGTCTTGCTGTCTCTGAGGACTATTCTCTACCCACTACACCACCCTGATATATATATATATGCACACACATATATACATATATGTATGTATATATACATGATATGTTTAGGAAGCAACATGATATAATGGGTTGAGAGCCAGTTTTGGAGTCCAGAAGACCTGGGTTCAAATCCTATCTCTGATACATAATGGTCATGTGACTGAGGGTGTCATTTAAACTTTCAGGGCCTTTGAGGCCCTATAAGGTTATAAATTACGGAGAAGGTGCCCACTTGCATTGTTAGCAGGAGTTTCCTCACCTGGAAGTTCCTTTAATCAGTGAAATTACAGGTTCAGTTCCAAATTTTGTACATAATCACATATGAACATGTCTCTGCTAATAGAATAGAATGCCCTCTAGGGCAGGGACTGTTTCATTCTTGTCTTTATATCTCCAGAACCTAGCATAGTATCTGGCATACAGTAAGTGCTTAATAAATGCTCAATGCTTGATTGGTTATACTGTTATATTCAATAAACATTTATTAAGTATCTATTATGTGCCAGGCACTGTGTTAAGCCCTGAGGATACAAAAATGGAAAAGAAAAACTGTACTTGCCTTCAAGGTGCTTACAATCTAATCGGGTAAGACAATACACAAAA